CACATATTTGTATTTTGAATCCAGGGTTTGATCATTTTGCACCAAAAACTATCATTTCTTCTCTTGGGTTTATTTGTGTATGTTTTGGGAGTAAAGGAAGCGTTCTTGAAAAGGTTTGCACAGTGGGAAATGGTACTAGCTACACCATGATGAGATGAGTGCTAGATAGTTGCATAAGAAGTTTTTAACTTATCGTCGATGTCTTCCACATTTAGAGATAGCGACGGTTATTGGGTTATAGTAACACCCGATCTTAATTTAGTCTTTATGCAAGACTTTGTCTATCTTTTGTTGATGATGATTTTAAATTCAATATTCAAGGTAATTCAAATATTGATTAATAGAAAATGAATCTACCATTTCCTTGTTGTATTAATGAAAATTTTAAATTAGTCGCTCTTCCACATTTGAAGGTGTTACACATCTTACACTTGGTAAACGATTACTGGGTAACCAAGGTTCTTGTCATTCCTCTTATCAGTCAGATTCTTCATATTGTCAAGCTCAATCGATACAGTAAATTATATCTGTAAACAATTATCCGATAAACATTTTGAAAATTGACCCTTATTCGATATAGCGGAATCTTGTTTCTTTTACACTTTCACCCCGAAAGTATCTTCCTTTTACAGTTTTTACCCATGGTCAATAATACTTGTTGCTTTAAAGTACAACCATCCATTACCAAAATGTAAAAATAAATATAAAAAAAAGTGGTAAAGTGATATAAACTATTACTTCAAAAAATAAAGTACAAAGTGTAAAGATGGGTAATGGGTTTGATTATTTGTCCATTACCAAGATTTTGTGCTTTCCTGCAAAAAACATAAAGTTTGATGTCTAAAAAGAGAAAGTTCAAAGTTTGTTTTAGTTCTACAATTTCAAAATTACCAAATTACAATACTTACTTTTTTAATTTCTTCTTGAAACATATTTTATTTGAAATCATTATTCTGTATCCTGGGGTCACAGACCGACCATAGAACCTTGTTCAATAAGTGGAACGCATTAGTTGTCTGTTATCAGGTTGGAGAAAGGGAACCACTCATTCTTAAAACCAGCGTTCTTTAAGCCAGCTAAAGTTATAGCACAAGAAAATCGAAGTATATACTTTATAAGCCCCCAAGCATTGTATTCTTTTGAAACGATGACCTTGGTAACACGACATATAACCATCATAAGGGCTGTTTGGCACTTGCTGAACGGTTTTAATGCATGATTATTAAGTGATTAGAATGATTAAGAGACTTTCATAATATAGTACAAATTGAAATATAATTGTTTGATAATTGTTTACAATGAAATTAGAACGCTGAATGGTTAAATGAGGCTCATGATACAAAATCATCCAGAAAGTTTTAGAACCATTAAGAGACATTTTTTCTACCAAACAAGATTTACTTCTTAACGATTCAGAGATTGCTTCTTAATGAAAGTGTTAAGAGGTAAACAAACAACCTCAAAACATAAAATATTTAATTTGATAATTTTTTTTATTAAATAAGTATTCCAAAGGACATCTTTATGCTTTCATCAAAACTCAAAACTCATTTCTTATTTCCATTTCTTTAATAACCAAAAGACTTTTAATTTAACAGTATGTGAGTTTTTAGCCTTTTAAGAAGTCAAAAGTTCATTACTCATCAAATATAAGGAAGATGTATGAGTTTATTTGTTACATATAATATTATATACTTTCAAAAAAAAATATTTTTTAATAATTAAAAAAGTGTTATAAATACCTTAAATTATTTATTTATAAATCATGAACACGAAAACGTAATAATCAATTTGCTCAAAAAATTTCATCAAAAAAAACAAAGTCTTTTCAGAAGACATTATTATTTTATCATCAAACCCATTTCTTATTATTTTTTAATAATTAAAAAAATAAAAAATAAAAATATTTTAAATTATTTATTTAAAGATTTAAAAGATTGCGGAAGTAATAATTATGAATATAAGGGGTGTGGTTGGGGGGATGATGTGTCATTGTAACGTGGTTCCCCTCTTTGGATGGCAACCCAAGCACTTGAACATGAATCGTACCACCACTTTTTTTATTGCTATTATTGTTATTAATTATTATTATTGTTTATTATCGGTTCTGACATTTGAACGGAAAAAGATTCATTGTAGACTATTATATGCATTGTACATCGTTTTCCTATTTGTATTCATTTTCATCGCCATTATCACGGGTTTTTTAAATGGAATTTGAAACAAGAGATTCAGTAGAAACAACGCTCGTTTTTGCTTTCGACCTTGTTTAGTGGTTTGGCATTTGAGTTCAAAACATTTATGATGGATCGGTTGCAAAGTCAACTACACTAGTTCCGTCACCTTAATAACATATTCAGATTAGATAATTGAGCTAGACCCCCCATCAAAGTCTTTGCTTGGTGGGTTTGGGCAGACGTATCACGTACGTGATACATATTCTATACACGTTTTGAGTCTTTAGAGTGGTAAACCTTGATTTCTGATACCATATAATAAAATATGGAATCAAATTAAATTTCTCTCCAACATATATTGGAAATAAACGATACAAAGTTAACCGATAATATAACTCTTAACAAATACATCTAAAAATAGCTAATAAAGAAGAGTACAAATAACATATAAAGGGGTTTAAAACTCGTGAGGTTAGCTCAACTAACGATGAGTCTTGGGTTTTAAGGATTTTCCTCATAGGTTATTGATTCAAATCAGGTAAAGTTATTGAGGATTTTCCTGACTGTTTTACAAAACTTTAAAAATTAGTCAAGTTAGGGGCTGTTTGACAGTTGCTCAATGATTAAGTGGTCAGAATGATTAAAAGACTCTCATGATATAGTGCAAAATGAAATATAATTGTTTACAATTAAATTAGGGTGCTGAATGGTTAAGGGAGACTCATGATATAAAATCATTCAGAGAGTTTTAGAACCATTAAGAGATAAATTTTTTTTTGCCAAACAAAAATTACATATTAATAAAACTATTAAAAAATAAACAAACAAATACTTGCTTATAAGCCGAGTTATGTAGAAGTAAGAGAAAAGATATAAAGGGGTTTAAGAGGATTTTGTGGGTTAAAAGGCAAAGATAGAAGAGGATATGATGCATTGGGAAATAGAGTTGCTTGCAAAAGGTTTTACTTTTACTTTTACATATAATTTACTTTTTGGCAACCACAATAATTTGACCGTTGGGGTATCTATCAATTCCTACCTTCACGGGGCATTAAGTGGTCCCACATATAATTCAATTCATAAATAAATAGTAAATAATAAATAATAAATAAAATTTATAAAGTAAAAGCCAAAATATGCATCATGATGCCCTTCCCCTGCTGTCAACAACGTTGCCATCAAGGCTCCTGTAACTTGTAAGGTTGACCAAGTCAATGTTTTTGGGTCGCTTTTCAATATCTTTTTTATTTATTAAAATCAAAGAAATTACATGCCCATTTATCCAACATATTTTTTTTAACTTTAAATTAAATAAAATAAATAAAAGTTGGGATTGTGGGTGGAGGACACGAGATTCGAGCCACCTTCAGATATGGGTTTCATTAGAAAACACGCCTTATGAATTGAACTGATCGATGTTACTTCATAAATATATATACATATATATACTACAGAGCAGTATCAAATATAAATCATTTATATTTGTATAAATTGTATAAACCACTTATATTTGTATAAATCGTACAAAATACCCTTATCCATCAATTTATTCTTTAATTTTATAAATTTGTTTCATATAATACTTTTTTGATGAATTGTTTCATATATGATTATAAAATTGTTTCATATAATAGTTATGAAATTTTAATGAAATTGTTTCATGTATTTCTTTAAAATTAATATAATGAAGATGATAATATCCATGATTAACACCCTTCACAATAAAAATGATTAAACAACTTCTCATAATTACAAAAAAATGAACAAAATGAAAAATTATGATTGGTTGAATGAGTTTTGTACGGTTTGTACAAATAACATGGTTTGCATAGTAAACCTTCTCTCTCTCTCTATTTA